TCCACGTCCCAACCATCCCGGCCGTAGTCCGGCCAGGGCTCTCCGGATAACGAGAGATGCTTCAGCAAATTTAGGATGTCGCCGAAGGGTGAGTGCTGAAAGATGTCCGCAGCGGTGAATTCCATGACCGACGTCCAATCGGATTCGACTGGCGCGGGCGTAGGAGGGTCGGAGTCCGGTAGAGAGTCCGGCACCTCGGAGTCATGAGCTTTGTGCGGGACAAGGTCAGTGTTCGGCTCCATCGTCGTAGAAGTTGCAGCCCCCGAGGCGGTGTCCAGCCACCCGTCCTCGATCTGCGCGATTGGCTCCGGACTATAGATCGGAGCGGATTCGAGTGCCGCTTCCAAGGCGCTGTCCGGCGGCAGAGTTAGGTCGTGCCCATCGCGACAGTGCGGCACGCGCGGCTGTGGCTCGGATCCGTCGAGGATCAAGTCCCCGCGGATATCGGCCGTGAAGTTTAGGTTTCCAAACCTGACCTGACGGCCAGGGGCGTAGCTTTCGATCTGCTCCAGATGGCCAAGTGAGTTGGCCCGCAGAGCGAAGCCGCCGAATACGAAGATCTGTCCGGGGAGAAAAGTCTCACCCAGGACCGCGTCGTTGTTGATTGAAGAGGCCATCAAGCCTATCAGTGACGACACAGAGGAACTCTCAATGAAAGCACCAATGTCGGTGTCAAAACCGGCGGATCTCGGGTAGGGGGTCCCGAACTGTGCGTCTAGGCGGATGGTAACAGGAGACAAGGGACACAATGTTTTACCCAGGTTCGGGCCCTCTTGATGGAGGTAAAACCCTACGTCCTGCTTGATTGATATTGATATTGTGGATGTTTACAAGAGTGGATCTACCACGAGATCAAGGAGGCTAAACCCTAAAAGCTAGCCTATGGTATGATTGTTGTAATGTATGTCCTACAGACTAGGGCCATCCGGTTTATATAGACACCGGAGAGGGCTAGGGTTACATAGAGTCGGTTACAATGGTAGGAGATCTACATATCCGTATCGCCAAGCTTGCCTTCCACGCCAAGGAAAGTCCCATCCGGACACGGGACGAAGTCTTCAATCTTGTATCTTCATAGTCTTGGAGTCCGGTCGATGATGATAGTCCGGTCGATGATAGTTCGGCTAATGATGGTAATCCGGCTATCCGGACACCCCCCAATCCAGGACTCCCTCAACGGGGCTTCCATTTCTCTTCATCCTTCAACACATTGTAGCAATGGGCCAACACAAATGGTCTCCCTTTCTTGACCTTCCCTTTCTTGGTCTTCTTCTCTTCTCCTTGAAATAAGTTTTATGCAATAATGAGCTACAAACGAAAGAACAAGTTAGCACTTAAAACACCAAAAAAGAAGCATGAACATGGAAGGAACATAAAGAAATGACACTTACCCTATTAGTGCCACTTGGGTTTATCGTGTCAACCGCCTTAAGTGCCGCCGCCCACCTTTGATAATCTTTGTTGATTGTCGACCACCGGGAGCGAAGAGATCTACCTGTGCGGTCAATTCCACTCTTGTTGTGTAAATCAAAGTGCTCCTTCATCTGGTCCCAATATGCATCTCTAGTTTGGTCCCCTCCAACGTTGGCATCCATAGACACATGCAACCATGTATTGCATAGCAAGATGTCTTCATCCATGGTGTAGTTGCCCGCTCTTTATTTCGGCGCATCCACGATACCCTCACCATCCTCGTCCACCTCCCACTCAACATGATCATCTTCATGCACTTCATTGGTTTGAGACCAATGAAAATTGTTGGAGCCAACACCCATAGTTGACATATATGTGTCATCATTGCAACTACAAAGTATGTAGAAGAAAACTAAGCTATCCACATGTATACATTTATGTAAAAAAACCAACAAAAAGGGGGGGGGTCATACCTTGTGGGCATTTCATCAAACACCTTGTGTGCATCAGCCTCCAGCGCAACAAATTGGGAGCTCTCCGGCGCCTTGGTCAGCAGAGGCGTGGTCGGACGCTCTGCAAGGTTCTTCTTCGTCCGCCTAGAAGAACCATCCGCCTTGTTCTTCTTCCCGAACACCTTGCCCGCCGTCGCAGCCGCCACATTCGGTCACTTCGAGAGGGAGGCCCGTGGATTCACGGCGGGCGGCAGCACAACGCCACCCTGCGAGGTCGTCTGTGGCGCCATGAAGAGGCCGCGCACAAGACCAGTGCTTGGAGGAGGGCCGCTGGCGACGAAGCCGAAGCTCAACCCCGCGCTAGGGTTTACGACGGCGGCGGCGGAGGGGTCGCGGGTGTAGGGAGGGGTTGGGGGATGTCGGCGCGACCTTCTACCGGTCAAATTTCACCGACGGCGGCGCGGGGCGAGGCAAAGGCGGGGCGGCTAGAGAAGTTGTCGGCAGTTGGTCGCGGGCGCTCGAATGTCCAGCACGCGGGAGTGGGCGCATGAAATAAGCGGCGCGATGCCGTTTTCCTCCGCGCGCTGAACCCATTATATTGCGTGCACACAATTTTTGCGCGGCCGCTGGAGCGTCCGTTTTGACTCCACGCGCGTAAAAAAGCAGTTTTTTCCTGCGCTCGGCTAAAATAGCGTGCATGTTGGAGATGCTCTGAAGCTGAAGAAGCCTGATGTAGCTACGCATCAACGTACGCTGAGATGCGTGTCGTGGCATGGGATTTTTATAGGGAGCTCTACACATCCGAGGGTGCAACTAACTTCCGTTAGATTGTGCAACATGTTCAGAGCCCGGTCTCCACTGATATGAACGCCAAGCTGTTGGCGAATTGGACGGGTGAGGAGATTGAAAGGGCTCTCTTCCAAATGGGTCCTACGAAAGCTCCGAGACCGGACGGATTACCAGCCCTATTTTATCAAAGACACTGGTCTTTTATAATAAAAAATGAGGCTTGTTCAACAGTGATTTTTTAAAATGGCAAAGAATTCCCAGCAGACTTTAACAGTACCGTGTTCGTTTTGATCCCTAAAGTCAAGGCACCGGAGTTGCTCTCTCAATTCTGGCCGATAAGCCTATGTAATGTGATATACAAACTGGTGGCAAAGGTGTTGGCTAGGAGGCTAAAGATCATCCTTCTGGTGCTTTTGTTCCGGGGCGTTTGATCATAGACAACGTCCTCATTGCGTACAAGTGCACACATGCCATTCGGTCCAGGCGACACGGGAGGCCGCTACTGCCTAAGCCCCCGGCGTGGTTCCGAGGTTTGGCTGCAGCTCTGGTGAAGCATCCTCATGCAGCTCCCCTATGGTGCCCTTGGCAGGCCTCGATACCTCACAGAAAAGGAAAAAACGAATAAGAAAACACAAATGAAAAAAAACAGAAAAACCCGGTTCAGAGAACCTTCTGGAAGGTTCCCAAAACCCATAAAACCAGAGAGAACTACTACAAGGCTCCTAAAACCAGATCACGTAACTGGGCCGGCCCAGTGCATGCGATCCTGGTCAATCCCTGTGTGCATTTGCTCGGGGTTCGGCTCAGCTGCAGGGCTCCCTGCAGGAAATATTGTGCAGGGCCAATAAGAGACTACCACTTGTCCATGTGGGCAAGCTCCTTTGATTAAGGTAGATTTAATTTGATACGAGAAGAGAGCGGGGCGGTGCGGCGAGCATGGAGGAGTCTGGCGCCATGCGGCGTTCTGGGACGCATACTGAATGGCGTTTCCTCCTCGTGGCCGAGCAGGGCGCCAGGGCCCCAGCACCGTCCAGGCGGTGCTCCTGCTCCATGGCTACCCGGAGCTTTGGCTGTACTGGTGCCACCAGATGGCCGCGCTCGCCGCGCCCTCATCCCCGACCTCCATGGCTTCGGCGACTCTAGCGTCCCAGCTGATCCCGCCGCCTACGTTGTCATGATCCCCGACCACGTCCGCCTCCCCTTCTACTGGTGTGTGTCCACATCAAGCGATACCAGGGGTGGCATGCCATCGCCTGCGTCTTCTGATTTAATTTTAGCATACCTTCTTCTTTTTGGCTGGAGCATACGTTCTTGTTTTACAGTTAAAGTGAACCGAGTTTCGTGACGAGAGTTCAAACAATAAATCGAATTGAACGTGCCAACCAAGGAGTTTCGATGGTTATTCAAGAGGGTTAGTCAGTTGAATGGGCCTTTCAACCTCGACGACATGGAGAATGATGTACCACTGCAGCAAGCCAGCATGGTTCTCACGTCAATGCGGGAGATGACACCAACCAATGCACGCTAGGATGTTGATAGTGGCTGCATCAAAATCGACATGAATGGCGGCAAACTGCACCACCACATCCCGCATATCACCATCGCTCGACGACATCCTCTGTGAAGGAGAGACCTGTGTGGACCTTCATCCCGGCTAGGACGTCTTACGCAACCACAGCGTGCAGTCGTGCGCAGCTAGCGGCACCGGTGCTACTTGTGTCGCTACTACAGGTAGCTCTGACTGCCGCGAGCACAATGGCGTTGACAATGGCTGCACTTGACTTGTCATGGGTGGCCGCACCTGCACCACCACATCTCGCGCATCACCACCTCTCAACATCGTCCAAATTAAGCAGGCGCCTAGTCGAAGGAGGAACCGGTACCGATGCCGCGGAGGTCGAAGACGAGGGCGCGGCGAGTGCGGCCATCTGGTGGCGCCAAAGCTCCGGGAAGCCGTGGACGAGCACCGCCCGAACGACGATGGGGCCCTGCTCGGCCACGGGGAGGGACATGCCGTTCAAGTCGGTGTTCCAGCGGGCCGCACGTTGCCGGGCTCCTCTATGCTCGCAGCACCACCCCGTGCTCTTCTCGTATCAAATTAAATCTATCTTAATCGGAGGAGTTGGCCCAACAGACAAGTGGCGGTCTTTTATTGGCCCTGTACAATATTTCATGCAGGGAGCCCTGCAGCTGAGCCGAACTCATTTTACATAGGCACAGCCATCTGCGTCCTTAAAATTAGGGAAGAGGGATTAATGAGGTTGGAGAGAGCCCACAACTACATTTTCAGTTTGCTTCTTTGTTTATGGAAAAATAGGAGTTGGCGCAACAGCGCTGAGCTGCGAGATGGGCAGGACCCACCGCTGGCGACTGGGGGCGGGGAGTCGGGTGGTGACGCGTCTGAACTCTGAAGCCGCGCGACTCCAATCCTGCTCTCTCCGTTTTCCCTCCACACACTGGCCCTCTTCCGCCACGAGGATGGCGGCATCTTCCCCGGCGGCCACAGCCACCAGGCCCACCACGACCCCTCCTCTCGCCGGGCCGGCGATCCACCGCGGCCTCGGCGCCGCCCGCCTCCTCCCGGGGTCGCTCTCCCGCTGCTCGCCCCCGGCATCCACCGCCCAGACTGTCTCCTCCGCCGCCCCCAAGACCAGGGTTCGTACATTATGGCTTTGCTCCGCGCTACTTAAATCCGCGGCGCCATGGTCGCGATAGCACATCGCTATGATTCACATGCTTCCCATGGGGTTCTGGCAGGGCTTGCTCCTGCCATGCCGGGCAGCGGAGGGGGCGGCGCCGGCGCGTGCGGGGGCGCCACTGAAGGTGATGATCTCCGGGGCGCCCGCGTCGGGCAAGGGGACTCAGTGCCGTATGATTGTCGAGAAGGTAAAAAGTACAAACCATTGCTTGGATTTCTTCCTATTTTGCCTGCGCCCAAAAATGCAGATGCCGTCAGTGTCAATAATAGGCTAATGCGAATCTGAATTCTGGATAAAGACTCTTGCTGAAGGATATGCATGTGTCTGAAAGTAGTCGACAGATTAATCAGCTGTGTACTCATTTAATGTTTAACTCTAGTTTTGGCTGTAAACATGTTTATTAGCCTGCTCTGTTCTAAAACTTCTCCTTTTCTTTTAACTTCTTTTAGTATGGTTTGGTTCATATATCAACTGGGGATCTTCTACGGGCTGAAGTATCTTCTGGCACAGATATAGGCAAGAAAGCAAAAGAATATATGGACAGTGGCATGCTTGTCCCAGATCAAGTTGTGACAGATGTATGTGGTTCAATTCTCAGGTTCTTTGTAGCTGGTAGAATTCTGGGAGCTAATAACGATGGTTGTTATTTCTTATAGATGGTTGTCTCACGACTGTCACAGCCTGATGTGCGCGAAAGAGGGTGGCTTCTTGATGGTTACCCAAGGAGTTATGCTCAAGCACAAAGTCTTGATAGTATGAAAATAAGACCAGATATATTCGTTTTACTGGAAGTAAGCCATTTTTACCATTTTAAGACCGCATACATTCATTGTACTGGAAATAGTCATTTTTGAACATTTATGACATTTGCTATCAACTGACACGTCCTTCATGTTCTTTCAACTTTTGTCTATAACATCTTAATATATTGCATTGCGACCTTGTCGATCATGCTTATCTCAATAGGCATATCTATATATCCTTATGTAGTGCTACATTTTGTTCCCATTCTGATAGATCAAAATGTTTAGAAAGAAAGGATGTTTGAACGAGCTTCATCATGGTACTTCAGTTTCATGAGTTCTGATTCTCCAACTTGTTAGTAGTTTTATGAAGTAAATTTGCTACTCCCTCCGATCCGAATTAATTGATGCAGTCTCTATACCCTTTCCCGACCCTGCGCAAGCGGGAGCTACATGCACCGGGCTGCCCTTTTCTATACAATGTCCATCTTGCATTGTATAGAGGCTGCGTCAATTAATTTGGATCGGAGGGAGTAGTATAATATGGCTGTCGCAATATTCTCCCAGAATGTGGTATGTCCGGGTTGTTGTACAGGGCTGTGCACACAGTACGATACTTTTCCTTCGAAACTGCACAAGAATACCACACCGCAGATTAGGGGTCATAACCAGGTCAAATTATACCATAGACGTACATTATGGTGAATCCGGTAACTTTGGTTGTGACAATAGGGAAGCTAGTGACTGAGAATAGATTTAATAATTAAGCAAATTTATCAGGTCTGCCCTTGTGCAACTGTAAATAAGATTCATTCTTTACCAATTCATTTAGTGGGAATTCATATCAAGTAGTTGTGCCTTACCTTATCTTTTAAAAGTTTGTTGGTGTGTGACATTCAAACTGATAGCAATCATACACTTAGCTGTGTATTTTCTGAATCAGTGTGGTTCATAATAGTCTGATTCTTCTTTTTTTTGAACTTAATCTGATTCTTCTTTGTGTTAACTTCAGTATTTGTATCTCGAAATCAAATACTATGCATTTTGTTTCCCTTGCTCTTACAGAATGTCTTTGATCTCTTGTGTTTCATTTTGTTTTCAAGTTCAGGTTCCTGATGTCAATCCCAAACACTGTATACCACAGATATCTTTGACCTCTTGTGTTTCATTTTGTTTCTAAATTCAGGTTCCTGATGACAATCTAATCGATAGATGTGTTGGAAGAAGACTGGATCCTGTGACGGGCAAAATTTACCATGTAAAGAACTTCCCCCCAGAGAATGAGGAGATATCTGCCAGGCTTATTACACGCTCTGATGATACATTTGAAAAGGTTTCTGTTGTTGTCCACTTAAGTAATCTTTTACTTGTTTTGTCATCCTCGGTAAGGTCTATAGATGTATCTATCTTGTTAAATATAATATGCTAGTTTGAGAGCTTGGGGCTGCATTTAAGAATTCGATTTGTGCAAATTCCTTTTGTTCGTTCATCACTAGCTTGGACCTAGATTTGAACATCAAAGAGTTTGGCAGGTGCAGGTTGCTTAGAAACTTGCTTGCAATTATGTTCTGTTCGTTACTATCTGTGTTTATTTATTGTAGGCCACAGCTGCTAAGTACTGTAATTATTTTTCCTATTGTTCTTGATCTGTACTATAACTTCTCTTCTTAATGATACGCTCCTGCTTACTCTAGAGGAAAAAAATATTATGCATGCTTTGGTTATCTTAAGTTCGAAGTGTTGTATATCTAGGTTTGACTTGGATTGTATTATTAATATTTTTTAGGTCTTTTTACATCACTTAATCCCCCTCTTTCAGCTAGCTCTACATTCTCAGTGCTTTTTGTAAACTTTTAAGACACGTCAGGGGAAAAATATTGTGCTGTTTAAAATTTTACTGTCATTTACAGAATACAAAGTTGAATTATACAATTAAACTGATGCAAACCTTTCCATTACTTACCGTACCCCCTTCCATCCCTTTTCTTTATGACATTGTAATTGCATAATTCTGGCATCGCTTCCATGAAACATTCTGAACCATAAGAGCCTTCTTTCTTCTGCAGGTTAAATCACGCCTTGAGACTTACAAACAAAATTCTGAAGCTGTTATTCCAACATACTCAGATCTGCTTAACCAGGTTCTCGTGTATTTCTAGCTACTATCATAGCAGTGATCCAGATAGTAAATCAGAAGTAACCTTTGTTCCTTCAACCTGCAATGTAGATTGATGGAAATCGCCCAGTGGAAGTCATTTTTCATGAAATAGATTCCATGTTACAGAAGATTACGAATGCTTCAGAAAAAAAGTTGGCCAAGACAAACGGTCAGAGCATAAATAAAGTTCTCCACTAATGTCTTCTTCCACTCTTCTGCTGTCATTCACAACCACTATCATGTAACTCCACTAGATCAACTGGTCTCTCTGTTTGCTTAAGAACAGCCCATTTCACGATTTCGAAGCTGCATTTTTTAAAATATTTTTGCATATCACTTTGAGCTAATATGCCTTCTTTTAGTATGTGCTAATACTATTTTCAAATAACCATAATATGCTATCAGTTTTAGCTAATATGTCAAGAATCGGTATATATCGTTTATTTAGCGAGACCATGCAAGAGAGCTGCATGTATATATTAGAGAGAAAGATAGTAATACTTTTAGAATGCCACGAATGGCATGCCCACAAGAGAAAACAACAGGACCCAAACAGAGAAAATAAACATCGACCAAAAGGCGAGTTACAAAACTAGGCCGGCCACAAAAAGGAACCCTACGGGTTAACTTGCGGTTGAATCATGATAGGGCTTCAGCCCAAATTAGGTTGACCACTGAATACCCCACCAATAAGTGACTGAAATCTTCTGAAAGCCGCAGCAAATGCATATCTCATTATATTGCAGACCTCTCCTTGCTTTATGATGAAAGATCCTACGTCTCCTTTGGATTACAATCCATATGAAGATTTTGCAGCTTAGCCGTGCCCAGGATTTCTAAATGACTATGAGGAGTTGATTTTTAGTTATGTTCTCTTCTTCATTAGTATAATCAGGCAAAGCTTTTAGCTTCTTTTTTTACTATGCTGGCTCAATTCTCATTGTTTGCTCAAACTCTTCATTGAACAGGAAAACCACCAGACACAACAGCTTCGAAAAAGGTACGTGTAATATAGTTAGCCATTTTATTCTATGTGTGAGATCTTAAAGTGAAGTGTGTACACTTAGATCTCTTCTATTAATGTATGTCTAAATGCTTTCTGCCAGGAGTGGCGTGGAATTCCAACGAGATTAAATAACATTCCACACTCCAGAGAGATCAGGAAATACTTTTACGGCGATGTGATACAAGCTACAAAGCATGCTATTGAAGATAAAAAGACTCGGTTGCAGGTTGCCACTTACGTTTCAATTTATTTCAAATCTCTATTGAAGGTTGAAATCAGAACTCACTGACTAAACTATTCACTGAGGCAACTTGAGTACTTTTCTCTTTCTGTTGCATATTTAACCTAGAGGGAATAATATGTACTTGGGATTAATCATTGTGACTGAACCTTGTAGTCCTTTCACCTTTTTTTCGCTTCATGCTTGCTGGGAAAACATTTTTTCTTGATTAGTGTCTACTTTTCCTCAAACATGCAGATAGATATCAATATTCCGGAGCTTAACCCCGAAATGGTAAGAGCACACAAGCTTACATATCTTTTTTGCTGGCGTCAACTGTCAATCAAACCTTTTTTATCTTCAGGATGTTTATCGTATAGGAACCCTCATGGAACTTGTAAGAGATTTATCTCTTACCTTTGCTGATGACGGAAAGCGTGTCAAGGTGCTTACATTCGGTATTCATCCATATACCTCCACCCGCCCACTGCCTTTTTTGATGACACAACATGAGACTGCTGACTTCTTATCAGGTCTGTGTTCAAGGCTCCATGGGGCAAGGCGCATTTGCTGGTATTCCACTTCAGCTTGCTGGAACCAGAAAAATATTGGAATTCATGGACTGGGGTGACTATGGGGCGATGGGCGCCTTCATAAATATTGGAGCAGTAGGTTCGTCATCCACTAAATTAATACGTTCGATAGCATTGAATAAAATAAATGATGGCTACTTAGTTTCATCTGAAGAATACTGAAAATGAAATTAAGTGTTGGTTATCGGGGAAATTTTGTGGATTTTTTCCATTTTTTACTACTCTCATTGCTATAGATATATGAACTCTACATG